TGTGTGTGTGTGTGTGTGTGAGTGTGTGTGTTTCTCTTTCTTTTTCTCTATCTATCCATCTATCTATCAATATCTATCTATCTATCTATCTATCTATCTGTCTCTCTATCTATCTATCTACCTTTATAGATTACCTGTTTCTATGTTTCTTTTTCTTCCCTTTCGCCCAATTTTTGGTCTTTTCCCCCTCTTTTCAGTGAGTTTGTTTACCTCTCTAAAACGGACCGACTTCCCCACAACTTATAATGTCGCTGCGGATAAACGATTTCCTTGTCTTATTCTTTGTAAACTACATGAGTGGATTGTTGTGAAGTTCAAAAAAATAAAAAAGATATTCTGGAGTTCAATGTTTTTCAGTACTTTATCTTTTAGCTTTTCTGTTTCATTTCATGAAGATTGTAAAAGATAACAATACAAAGCAGCATAACGATCAAGATGATGATGATGATGACGATAATGGTGATCACGATGATGATGATGATGAGGAGGAGGAGAAGGAGGGGGAGGAGGAGGAGGAGGAGGAGGAGTGGGAGGATGAGAGGAGTCGATGGAGAAGAAGAAGAAGAAGAAGAAGAAGAAGAAGAAGAAGAAGAAGAAGAAGAAGAAAATGATGATAATGACGATGGCGATGATGTTGATGATAAGTATGATAAAAATAGTAACACTTATGTCAGTATAACAAACTAACAAACACCTTGATGTCGAACAAAAGCGAGCAAGTACTCTGAAAAAACCCACCAAGACACAACAGTATAACAAGAAAGAAAACTTTTTAAAAAATAAAACACATGCAAAACCATAAACTAGTCACGTCTGGAATCAAAGATGTGTTCTGGGCGAGCGACGCATGCTGCGATGGAACATCTGCCCGTAGAACTCACCCTCCGTCAAGTGTTGGAGCTTGGAACAACATGCTCTAAGTTTACGCCTCGAAAGAGATTTTTGCTCCGAGGGCTAATTGTATTGTAATCCACGCCAGCTTTACGCGGTATTTACACAGTGTGTCAGGGCTGGGTAGGAATTCTAGCTCGCACCTAGATTGATTTAGCTGGAAGTCAACAGAGCATTTGCCAGAAAGAGGAGATTCGTTGTTTGGTAGGCATTATTGGTCGGTTCCGGGTTCATCTCCGTGAGTGAACATTACTTAAACTAAACAAGACATTGCATTTGTTGTCTTTGGTTAAATACATTGCAGAATACTATAAACTGGAATAAATTAGTTGATTAATAATTTGAAAATAATTGATACATAACTAATAAGCTTTGAAATAATAATCTATGTTATATTAATAATTATATGAATGATCATTTTATATTTGGCTTCAACAAATGCAAAGCATTTAACATCTAGAACCTTTCAATAAATCTATTAGATCTATTGATAACCACCCAGGGAATTCCATGACTCAAATCCAAAAGTCTGTAGAGACAATTCTTGTAATAATAATAATTAATGATAAATTAATTTACACTTTTATTTGTCCCAGAAGGGCACTTTGGTTTACAATGGCAAACATACAACTAAATACATAAATACATAATTATAAATACACACATACATAAATACAAGCGTAAATGCATACATAAATACACAATATTACACTAATACAGAACAGTTTACAACCATGCCACTGTTTGTCGCCTCTGTGCAGCGCCCTTAATTTCAGCTTGGGTTGTCGTGTCTTGCTAAAGGACACACCCCAGTGACCACCCATCTGATCCCCGTGTTATAATACTATAATAATATGATAATATAGGACAAAGAGAAAACATTAAACGTAACGCGTAATAAGCTAGATTTTAGACATGGTTATCTCTTTTTCTTCGGTTCTCGGAATGTAAGCCACAAAAAAAGTATTATGCTACTGTATGGTACGAATTAAACTACTTTTACATCACATTATGTTTATTTATATGGCGAAAAACTTGATCTTAATACAGGTCTCCATTGGGAACGGGCCAAGCATAACATTATGGTGATCCTTCAAATTTGTCCAGAGAAGGTCAAAAACGCTTCACTCGAGATTGGAACCAGAGCTGTCGGTAAGACATCCCAACATGATACCAACCGAGCAAACAATGTGTTCTAAATAATACTGAACAAACGATGTAAACAACATCAATATGGAATTAATAAGGATCAGAACAGAATCTTTAATCAATTCGAGTACATGATAGTGTCCTTGGTATTCAATCTTTCATTTGCTATTGCTCGTCTCCTAGTTCTCACAATGTCTTTCAGCTGCCCTCCCCGGCGCCTCTCACTCATCAGTGGCTGGCAAACACTTTTAAAGCTGTCGCTTACAAAGTCAGTCAACAAATGGAACTTAGAAGTTTAAATTTCAGAGGTCTGAATTGTTCTTCCTTACATTATTCATAAGATAATTCCTTTTAATCGGATACACTATCTGAGAATCTGGAGATATTCCTT